TATAGATATATATATCAACGAAGTATATATATATCAACGAAGTATTTATATATATATCAACGAAGTATATATATATATCAACGAAGTATATATATATATCAACGAAGTATATATATATATATATCAACGAAGTATATATATACATATATATCAACAAAGTATATATATATATATCAACGAAGTATATATAAAAAACTCCCAAACATATCGAGATGGACACAACTATAGTACTACTGTACGTACCGCTCTTCACCGCGGACAGACCCGTCAAGGCGTTCATATGATAGCTTTTGCCACGTGCAGTAGTCTTGGATGATGTCTAGGAACGCGGTGGACGTGCTGAATAGGAGCACCACGTGGTTGGTGGCCTTGAGCTCGTGCAAGAGGGTGTGCAGCACAAACAACTTGCCGCTATTCATGTACAAGTGGGCGCCTTCTTGAAACGGTTCCGGCTCAGCATTGGGAAACAAGTACGGGTGGTTGCAGGCTTTCCGCAGCTGTGCCAAGATGTTCATCAATGACAACCTAGAAACCCCAGTTAATCATGTTTCCCATGCACATTCAACCGTAAAGACACAATTCAGTGTTGTTCATAAGTATACTCTCCGAACGCCAAAACAGCTATATATATATATGAATAGAAATGCTAGATCCATCGGATCTACGTGACGAATATTATATATACTATTTATGATAACATTTCAACTGTTTCGAAAATAATTGCCACGGTGGATTTCCCATGGTATTTACACTGCTCGACCAATTCAGCATCAACAAAGCACAACCATAACGCCCGAACTATTATAAATTATATATATTTCAACGATGTGCACCACACACCCATACATAATCTGCGTCCAACATAACAGGAAAACAATAGAAAGTATAGTAGTACCGTGTCGGCTCTCTGGAGGTTCAAGCCCACGCCGCCTGCTCTTGTGCTGAGCAGAAACAAGAACGTTTCGTCTTCACTTCGAAACCGATCAATGGTCTGCCACCTATGCCAAAAGTGGTATATATCAGCAAAGTATATATATATCAACGAAGTATATATATAGATATATATATCAACGAAGTATATATATATCAACGAAGTATTTATATATATATCAACGAAGTATATATATAGATATATCAACGAAGTATATATATATATATATATCAACGAAGTATATATATATCAACGAAGTATATATATAGATATATATATCAACGAAGTATATATATATCAACGAAGTATTTATATATATATCAACGAAGTATATATATAGATATATCAACGAAGTATATATATATATATATATCAACGAAGTATATATATATCAACGAAGTATATATATAGATATATATATCAACGAAGTATATATATATATATCAACGAAGTATTTATATATATATCAACGAAGTATTTATATATATATCAACGAAGTATATA